TTATATCTTCCTTAGGTTTCCCTATCTTTCATATTACATTAAAAAAAATTAAAATAAATCATGTTGAAAATTACGTTATTATTTTAATATGAATGAATAATGTAAAAAATTAAATTAAAATGTCTTTTTTTGGACCCAATTCTAATTGGTTATGCGGCGCATCTACCGAAATTACTGTAATGGAATAATAAATACTGATTTGTTTAGTTAAATATATACTTTTCTTTCCAGTGGAAAAAAAATCATTCTCCAATACTCTGGCCAAAACGCAATTTTATTCGCCAAATTTACTATTTGATCGAATCTGGCGAGGAATGCTTAGCGTGGTATTTATTAATGTAGAACACAGGTCCAACGCCTAGAGTATTTGAATTTAAATATACCGCTGTTTTCTAAAAATGAAGGTTTCTCAAAAACAAACAAAAAATCCAGTGAAAGGAAAATGGTGGGTGGATTTTAAAAACGAATTAATAAATTCCTAGTTGAATTGTCGTTTCTCTAAAAAAGAATTTTTCAATAACGCAGTAAAGGAAAGGATAAATCTCAGACGATTTTCTAAGAAATGAATGAACGGAAAGCATAATAAAACTGCTTTCGAATGGAACAAAAATGCTTTCAATATTCTCTTTTAGTCAGATAAGTGAAGCATTCAAACATAGTATCATCCTGAGAATGAAAGTGCTGCGCAACAAAGAAAATGGAACACAAACTAATTTTAGGATAGTTTGTAATCTAAAAGACAGTGAAGCACGACAAATCCATATGGAACAATCCTTTCTATAAGAAAGGAGCCAAAAAGCCATGCCAAAAGGCTAAAAACAAAGAACAATCACGATTAAGAGTTACTGAAGCAGATGTGACTTCAGTCTATAATCTCTCTGAAAATAAAATCCCCAATACACAATGTATCTTCTTATTTAACACGATCAGAATCATATATTATTTCTTCATTTCTTGTTCTTACGATTGCGCAATCCTATCTGTTATCCATTTATGAATGTAAGTTACAAAGGTTTGTTCCTAATATCCGTTGTTGGAATTGAGGTGAATGGCTTAAATGTTAAAAAAACTTAACTCTCTTTACTTTAAGCTCTGCTAAGTGAATAAAATCACGTTCCTGACATCTTAATTGTTTTAAGATCTCAAAAGATTTCATTTTACATTCTTCAAAAACAAACAGCCTCTACTTGTGTTGAGGTAATATTTCTTTAAATTTCGTTTCTGGTAACCAGAAATCAAACAGAGCGTTTTAAATCTGTCTGGTTTACAAATTTTTTGAGCTTAATCACTGGCATTCTCAAACTTTCTCTGTCAATGAACAAAATAACAATGCAGCTTTAGTCATTCCGGTTTTTTTTTTCACTTACTGAATTAAATTAAAAAAATTCTATGAAACTGTAACAATCTTTTCAGTTTTGATCTTTAAAAAAAATTCTCCAAGTGTCTTTGATTGCATTTTTGTACAGAAATATAAGATTTAGGTTTGGAAGGAAAAAAAACACTTCTAAAAACCTTTTGTTAAACAAGTCGTTTTGGTTTTGTAAGAACAAAAGTCGTTTCGCGGACCTTAATTTTTGTAAAAATAAAAATATTTAGTTAATTGTACGTTTATTTTATGCTATTTTTCCTCTCAAAGTCTAGATGAATTACATACGAACCAAACAACAACGCTATAAACCAAATTAATAAAATGAATGATTTACTAAATAATTGCTTTTTCTTAGAATAAAGAATTATTTTTAGAAAAATGATACACAGATAAAAAAACGTGTCATAAAATATTTCTTGATTCAACCAACTTATTTAAATATCTTACTTTATTTAAGAAATATATTAAAATTAATTTTCGAATTTACAAAATATTATAATATGACATTCTTTTTCAGTAATCCAGTATATTACATGTAATTTGAACAAAAAACTTAGAACTGAAAACTAAAAATTATTAATTGGCATAATATACTTAATTTATAAAAAAAAAGCTTAAAATCGGAAAATTAAAACAGAAAAAAATTATATACGCTCTTTTATTTACTAAAGTATCGTCTAACATTCTCTTCATTTTTTTATAATAATCAAAATACTTTCACAGTGATTGTTCGCAAGCTCAGATATTCCAGAAAGTTAATTTTTACTTTTTATAAGCTAATTGTGACAACTAATTTCAACTTTTTAAGATAATTCTGAAAGCTGATTTTAACTTTTAAAGATATTTCTGAAAGCTAAGTTTAGCAAAATATGGGGGAATGCCTCTATTTAAATTCCCCTATTCTATGCAAATATAGGGGAATTTCACACCCAAATTGTTTTTTTATTTAAAAATCTGAGGGCTACGTTTCCGGTACTTACATATTATCCAGTCGACTATTTTCGACAACATCGAGCCAGAATAACTTTGGTATCTTTCAATTTTAGTTTAATATAGTAATTGATTATAAAAAATTTATAGAGTATCTACACATATAACTTATAACAAAAAAAAAATAATAAAAAAATAGTGCGTGGTGTCCCTCCGCGCGGAAGAAGTTAAACTCCGTAACCTGCGACGTTAATTGTAGAAGAATCAGCAGTCGTAGAAAGATCACTAGTTCTATTCAACGACTCTTTTTTTCTGCTCCGCTCTCTTCCGTGCTCTGTAATAAAGGTAATACCGTGCATTTTTCCTTCGTGGACCTCTTGAACCAGTGGAAGTGCTTGTGGTTGCCTCAGCCATGGAAAATGTATTTGTATTAATAATGCATGTGAATGCGTCATAATGTAATTTGAAAAGAAAAAACCTAAAAATCAATTGATATTCACAAGAGCCGTACCTTGACATAACCTTAAATCCGTCGCATTGNACAGTGATTGTTCGCAAGCTCAGATATTCCAGAAAGTTAATTTTTACTTTTTATAAGCTAATTGTGACAACTAATTTCAACTTTTTAAGATAATTCTGAAAGCTGATTTTAACTTTTAAAGATATTTCTGAAAGCTAAGTTTAGCAAAATATGGGGGAATGCCTCTATTTAAATTCCCCTATTCTATGCAAATATAGGGGAATTTCACACCCAAATTGTTTTTTTATTTAAAAATCTGAGGGCTACGTTTCCGGTACTTACATATTATCCAGTCGACTATTTTCGACAACATCGAGCCAGAATAACTTNAAACAATATAGAAATGAATGAGGGAAAACTGGATCCTACCACGTGATTTCCCGGCCAATAAATATGTGGCGTTAAACGTTTAACACAACCTTGCTGGAAGTCGCATAAGAAGTATAACTTCAATAAGATGTAACTAACGAGATAATATTTTAAATTGAACCATTTCTAAATTTATTTTCAGATTTGGGAAAAACGATCGACGAGAGAATACGCAAGTACCAAGTTTCCCTATAATTTAATAAGAATATAGGAAAATGAAACTCAGAATGATTTCCGTGAATTGTTTATAATTTGTTTCCTTTTTATGTGCAATCTTTGAGGCAAATTTAATTTTATTGCGGAAATATTAACATTTATTAAAGTAGCAATTGCTGTTTGAGGAAAATGAGTGGGCTGTTAATTTAGCATTATTCTCATCTTCGATTGTACATACATTCCTTATTTTTCAGTGGTTGAGTTTCTTTCACAATCGTTTTAGATGATGAGATACCTAAACACTTATTTTTTCAGAATAAAAAAAAATATTTTAATTAACGTTAAACGTTTAAAAGCTTGAAACGTTCTAGGCTCATTTCAGTTATTCGAATCATGGGCAGTTAATTGGACGCCACCAACGAATATATTTTTAGATATTAAGTAAAGGAAACTTGTATGTATCCGGCACTAATTAAGTTTCAAATTATTGGCTGCAATCACGCCATTCCTTCTAAAATTGATTTTTTTATACAGTGTAAGTAGGACTTATAATACCCGGATTGTACCTATTTAGAGATTTGAATATAATAAATATATATTCTAAATATATATTACTTACATAATAGATATAATCGATCAATATAATAGCTTAATATAATAGATATATATTTCTATATAAATATATGTTCTAAATATGTCCACGTTTAGAAAAATATTACTTTTGTTTCGTATTGTACCGATGTAAATAATTATTTTTCATTATTAGTATAGAAATTACATTTTTTGTAATTACAGTTGTATTGAGTATTCATTTATTTAAAAAAAAAGTTTATTTAATAAACTTACAGTGCTTCACGGAATGCTACTTCAGACAGATTCCGAAAAGTTTTCGTAATATTACTGTCACAAGCATTCCTCTGAAACCAAATGGTGGTTTCCAAATGGTGTTATCCTAGGGTTCCATGTAAGGGGTTCCGAATGTTAGAACATTTTTTTTAAAACTTAAACAACAATGATATTTTGAGCCTGTGTTTATATTTAGATCAGATCAATAATCCATCATTTATATAATATTTCGGTTGACTTTGTGAAATGATTAAAAGTAAAATGTTATTACAATGAAATAGCACATTTTTTAAACATTATTTTTCTAATAACTATACTTTTAAATTATGAATAGGACACGCGTTTATGAAAAATTGCACTATTTCCTATCACGATTTTTAAATTAAAGTTGATGATAAAGATATGTGTCGCTGGTATAACCATTTTCAACGCTGGTATAAATTCTTTTTAATTTTCATTTCAACAAAATAACACAATTGGTCTTATTTGTTTCATTTTCAGCTTATATATGTACACCTGTTATGTTATATGTTATATATGTACTACTGTATATGTTATATATGTGAGAAAAAAAATTCAGAACTAAATTAGATACTGCTCCTGGAGTGCGAAATCAACTTCCTGACATAAAATCTAATTTAAGATTAATGAAGAAACCCTGAAAAAATTTCATTCCTCTTAAATATTTTAAACTCTTTGTATCCATTAATTATATCAGGGTTCCGCCGAAAGAAGCTCGATCATTAAGTGTTCCATAGGCGAAACAAACATTTGCTTCTGAAAATATATGGGAAATAAAAATTTGCTTACCTGTATTAGAGAGCATGGACTCAATTTCATCGTCAGAAAGACCCACAAACTCAAAAAAGGCATCAGCATTTAATGACCTTGTAATTTCTCTAATAGATGATCCAAAGTTCTCGGATGGCAATCTCTGAATTGGAGCACAGTTTTGAGAACAATCGCAGAAATTGTTTTGGTCAACCAAATTGCTAATTTGTCGGCTAATACCCGAACTTCCAGTGATTCCATCGCTTGATGTTTCAAATTCTGTGCAGAAAAATGAAAAGAAAAAAATTTCAATGTAAAATGTCAAATCAATATTTAAAGGTTTTTATTTTTATTTTTTAAATGGCGGGCACTGGGGTTTGTCCCGTTGGCCACAGAAATGCCAGAACTGCTACTCTCTTCTCGTTACCCAGTGGTCACCTGTGGCGAAGCCACGTCGGTGGAGCAGCTTCACCCACGTCACACAACCACAAACCCGTTTATAGGTGGATCACATTCACACAAAGAGGAAAAGACATAGAACACAGAGAGAGAAAGAAACATCCATGCCCTGAGCAGGATTCGAACCAGCGGCCAATGGCTCCGCAGTCAGACACGCTAACCACTCGGCCACCTGGTCGGCATATTTAAAGGTTAAAACATAATAAATGCAAGAATTAACAAGCTCTTAAACCAATAAAGTTACTTATGTAATGACTGCCCTTTGCATATATTTTATAGATTCTTTCCAAAAAAATTAAGTCAAAGAGTCTCTGAAAATTTGTAATAAAGGTGATCATTATGAAACCACCTGAATTTATTAATAGTTTATGATTTTGATAACAATTAGAAATCACAGAGGATGCCATATGAATGCAATAGTTTGAAGATAAAATCAAGTAATTGAAAGCAATGACATGATTACCCCAATGTACTGTTTTTTGGTTTAATTTTTTTAAATTGTTTTTCTTAGAGTTTTTTTTAACAAGTTAATTTTGTAAATTGTTATTAAATTTATACAATTTGGAAAAAATTAAATACATTTTGAGAGAAAGGATAAACTTAAGCAATATTGAGAGATAGACTTCATGTTTCAAAACAAAATGGATACCATTGCCTTATTTTGATATTTGATTGCCTTATAATTCTTCAAAATAAAATGACANACAACCACAAACCCGTTTATAGGTGGATCACATTCACACAAAGAGGAAATGACATAGAACACAGAGAGAGGAAGAAACATCCATGCCCTGAGCAGGATTCGAACCAGCGGTTAATGGCTCCGCAGTCAGACACGCTAACCACTCGGCCACCTGGTCAGCATATTTAAAGGTTAAAGCATAATAAATTCAAGAAGTAACAAGCGCTTAAACCAATAAAGTTACTTATGTAATGACTGCCCTTTGCACATATTTTATAGATTCTTTCCAAAAAAATTAAGTCAAAGAGTCTCTTAAAATATGTAATAAAGGTGATCATTATGAAACCTCCTGAATTTATTAATAGTTTATGATTTTGATAACAATTAGGAATCATTGAGGATGCCATATGAATGCAATAGTTTGAAGATAAAATCAAGTAATTGAAAACAACGAAATGATTACCCCATGGTACTGTTTCTTGGTTCAATTTTTTTAAATTGTTTTTTTTTAGAGTTTTTTAGCAAGTTAATTTTGTAAATTGTTATTAAATTTATACAATGTAGAAAAAATTAAATACATATTGAGAGAAAGGATAAACTTAAGCAATATTGAGAGATAGACTTTATGTTTCAAAACAAAATGGATACCATTGCCTTATTTTGATATTTGATTGCCTTATAATTCTTCAAAATAAAATGATAATTACATTTCGGGTAGCTTTAAACACTTAATTAATAATAAATTTAATATATTTATTGCCAATTCAAAGAATACATTATCTGTCTAAATAATATGCTATAATTCTGCTTTGAATATTTTTACTTTCTCACACTGAAATTATTTTTTCTAAAATGAAAACAGCTTTTTTTAACGTAATAATTTTTTTTGAAATAACTCTAGTTAGAGTTATTTGTATACTGACCCCAAGTCATTGCGCATCTTTAGGTGAGACTGAGATTTACCTTAATTTTTTCAAGTCGACCGATTTTTCGTAGATCTATCGTATGTTTCAAAACATGTTTGTCACTTTCGAATAGTTTTAATCGGTAATATTGATTTGAAATGACAATAAATTGAATTATTTTGAGAAATGAGAAAATACTTACCCTCTTGTTGTGTTACAGGCGTGTTTTCTCTCACTGTATTTGTTGACACGGTTTCTGTTCCTACGGATGCATCTTCTGGAGTTGAAACATCCAAAGAAGTTATTTGAGTCTGTACATCGTCTTGAGTTGGCAACTGTGGCACAAAATACACTCCGTCAACCGCGTTTCCTTGCGTTGTATTTCTATCATCATCTAGCACTTGTTGCGTGAACTGAGTCGTAGAAATTGGTGAACCACTAGAAGATTGTGTACCATCGTACACATTACCATCATCCAATATCTTTTGCTGTTCAAAACCTCCCTGATTGGAATCGGCTTGATTATATGACGTTCCCGTGGCTTTTTGACCAGTTTGACCTCCTCCAGCGACGTTGTAATTAATATTTTGCTGCGTGCTGTGAAATCCTGTTTGCGTTTTGATATTTTGATTATTATTGATTGAATCGACATTGTAGAAGTGTTTTTCATTTGGAATTACTCTGTTGTTGTTGTTTATCTTGCCTCTGTTGGGTTGTTGGGCCCTCCATGCATTTTGTCCCAAGTTCTGATTTGAATTGTACTGGTTGTTTCCAATTTGCTGGCCACCTTTTACAGATTGAGCGTTGTTGTAGTTTACCTTTTGTGGAAAATTTCCATTCGAAAGAGGTCTGAAACTCTCGCCTCTAGCCCCTCTTTGCACTTCGTTGGAAAAAGGAGGAAATCCTCCTCCACCTCGATGATTTTGTTGATTAAACTGTTGCCCATTGTTGTGCTGATAATTCCTCGTATTGTGGGAATAATCCCTTTGGCCACTTGAAAAGCTTTGAGTCTTAGTTGGTGCCCTGGCGTCCAGTTGGAAGTCATTATTATACTGGTTTTGATTTGAATTACCGTCATTGCCATAGTTTTGGTGTTTCAAAGGAACCCTTGAATCTACTTGGAAATTTTGGTTGTGTATGGCTTCATTTCCACCCTGATGTTGTTGTTCATTTGAATAGGCTTGCCCGTAGTTGTTTGTTGCATCTTGAAAGTTAGGACCAGGAAAGTTCACTGCATTGGCAAAATGATTAGGATCTGGTTGGGAGAATCCTTCATCTGGTTGATTTTGATTATTGTTTTGGTTATAGTTAGGTTTCAGAGGAGTATCTTGAGGCTTGTCGTAATTTTTTTCAGGATATCTTTGGGATTCGAAAGTTGGACTAGGTATTTTTCCTTCTCCTCCGCGATATCCTTCATTTCCATGATTGGATGGTCCTCTATTTGGAGTTTCTGGATATGGTTTGGAGGCCTGCTCCTGTTGAGGTATGGATATTCTCAAATCTGCTAATTGCTGTTGGACATCATTAGGCAATAATAATCTTATTTCTGGAACATTGTTAAGATTCAGTGGAAAAGTTGCTAATGGTGACGGTTTTTCCTTTGCATATGTGTTTTGAGCTCCTGCAAAATAATTTAAAATCATATATATTTAATTGAACACAACGAATTACTTATCAACTTTTCAATGATACAGATCACCATCTTTTATAAATACATATGTGTAGTATAAAAGTCGCTTTATCATCCGAATTGTTTAAATTACAAGATTATGTAGTCATATATTTACCAAGCAATACATCTGGTATATTAAAGGAATGCTTTAACAGAGTGTTTAATATAAGGGTAATAAAATACAAGTTTTTAAAAACCGGTTTTGCTGACTATTAAGTTTGTTCCCTTTTATTATAATTTCAATTTAATTGAAAAAGAAATATTTTTATTTTTGCACGATTCTTTTTTTGTTGAAATATATTATTTTCCAAAATTTATATTATATTAATAATTTATATGAAATACAGTGAATTCGCGATAACTCGAATCTGATAGGACTGACGAAAAACTTCGACGTATCGGAAGTTCGACTTACCGTTAGTTTCGGTTTTGGACTTTCAAAATATTGTCGGATTATTTAATTAATGCTTATTAATTACAAATCTTCTAAATGCTTNTCATCTATGGGATATTTGAGCTCCTGCAGAATAAATTAAAATCATGTATATTTGATTGAACGCAACGAATTACTTATTAACCTTTGTATAATGCAGATCACCATCTTTTATAAGTACACATGCGTAATATAAAAGTCGCTTTATCATCAAAATTTTTTAAATTGCAATATGTAATCATATATTTACTAAGCAGTACATCTAGTATATTAAGGGAATGCTTTAACAGAGTGTTTAATATAAGATTAAGAAAATACAGGTTTTTAAGAACCTGTTTTGTTAACTATTAAGTTTGTTCCCTTTTATTATTATCGCAATTTGATTGAAAAGGAAATACTTTCATTTTTGCGTGATTTTTTGTTGAAATATATTATTTTCCAAAATTTATATTTATAATTTATATGAAATAATATTTTATATGAAATAATATTTTATATGAATTAATATTTTATATAAATTAATATTTTTCAATTATTTCATATAACTTTTTAAAATTCGATTTCTCGGGAACTATTTTACCGATTTCGCTCAAAGTTTGCATTTTGCCAGGTAAAATCATATTCATTAAAATGATGTAAAATATTGCATACCTTACATTTTAAAATTTTTATTACTATAATAAAATATAATAAATATTTACTAAAATTAATTTTTTGCATAGAGTCTTTTTTTTCTGGATAAACGAATTTTATAATTGTGTGCAATAATTGTTCAATTCGCTTAAAAAATTCTAGAGAAATAACGAAGAACAAAAAAAGTATAATTGACATAAGGGGATCAAGCTTTCGATCGCTATTCTGACCAAATCATAGGGACCATATTTCCCAGATTACTACTACCCCTATATTTTGGGGGTCAAAAACCATAATCCATCAAAAAAAGTATGTTTATTCAGAGAAAGTGTCTCATTTTTGTGTCTTAACTTAAAATATCGTCTGTACTAACTAATTAACATATTTGAAGTAAACCCCTCAAACTATTAAGATTGAGTCCTAGTACGTAAAACTGCGGTAATTAGATCAAAAGTTATTCAGGGTGTTTCATTTATTATTTGCGCACTGTACATTATTTTTTTAAAATACTTTTCATATTATGAATTCTCATAATTTTTAATTATTTAGAGGTCTTGATTTTCATTACGTAGAATATTTATTATAAATCTAAAAACTATGACTAAAGCAAGTGCTTTGTCTTTTGAATTTAGGATGTTATAGGGGACTTAATCGATTTGTGTAATAAATATCACAATTGATAATCACTCGCAATAGATTTTTGTATAATTCTTTTTTTAATTTTAGAAACGAAGAAAAATATTTTTTATGTGACATTTCGTAACTTAAAATATCCACCACCCTGATGTATTCACTAACTATTTTAGCATATTTGAGGTAACCTCATCGGGCCATTAAGATTTAATCTTTGAACGTGCAAAAGTTATTCAGGGCGGTTAGCTATGTAATATAAACGGCTTTGCATAGCTATGTAATATAAACGGCCTTGACGACGAAAATCGAAAGTTATGCCGTTCAGAGATTTATATGAGGTAAAGGCCATTATTTAGGAGGGAAAGTAAAGGTAAATATTCGGCGAGGGGGTTTTGCTCCCCGAAAATCATTCCGAAATTATAGAGTATCGCTTTCACTAAGAAATCCAATGACTGAAATCTGCACAGAAAAACATTATTCCGTGTTAATAGCCTATAACTTTCACATTCCTATAAAGGTCACTAAATTGACTCTCTCATAAGTATTAAAGTAATTTCTAGAAAGTTGCATTCCAAATTATTTGGACTTATATCTTGGGGTAATATTTCTTGGCCCATTAAGACGCCATTGCATTATGTAGTCTTTAACATCTGTATACGCATCATAATAGCGTCGATAAATAATTCATTCATTTGAGATTCTCATTGATTATTAAATTAAGTTAAAATACGAATGTGCAAATAAAAAAATAATAATGAAAATGATGCAGGTGCAAGTATCATTTCAAATGAGACATAAATTATGGGACATATTTGTTCCTTGAGCTATAAGACAAGTTCATTGCTATCTTGAAAATTTAATTTTCTTGATGATGTTGAAAATTTTTTTGTCAGTCTTATATTATCCATATTACTCTTTTTTGGCTCTTTCTCTTAATATCAATTGAATATCTTTGAAATCTTTCGATAATTCCATGTATGCCAACTTCCGGTGATAGTCTAATTCTTTGTTCCATAAATGTTAGGGTAAAACGCTTTAATTTAAAACATTTATCCTTCAAAGACACTGAGGCACATGAAGAAGATATTCAAAATTGTAAAAATATGTTGAGAGACGGATATTGAAAAATATTGAATCATAAATGTGTGTGCAATACGTATTGATTGAAAACTTTTTTCATTAAAGACACAGTGGCACATAAAGACGATATTCATATATGTGAAAATACGTTGAGAGACGAATAATGAAAAATATTAAATTACATAATTGATGAATAAACAAATTTTTAACAAAATTATGTTGTATTAATATTGTATTATTTTTAGGTTTCAAATCAAACATGAATTTTAACAAATACAGTTTTTGACAACAATGCCCATCAAGACTTTTAGTAAAGCGTACTGACTTTTCTGAATTCCGAGGAAATCCAATTTCCGAAATGTACGTGGAAAAATTTATAACTGAAAGTAGTCCTGAATTCAATATAAATTCATGCAAAGCAAAATAATCTTTTAATTAATTTGTTTATCTTACGAAAACCCTAACGAACTAATGATCCCAAAATCCATCATTGTAATTCCAAAGAAATTTTGTTCCTAAAGCCTCACTGTGAAACTTTTCCATAATATTACATACTCATATTGTTATATGTCTCAAAATTATTGACCACTATTTTTCTTGTTTATCTACAAATTTAAATATGCATATATTTTAGGGTTTCCATACTCATATTGTTATCTCTCTCAAAATTATTGGCCACCATTATTTTTGTTTCTTTATAAATTTAAATATGCATATATTTTGGAGTTTCCATATCTTTTCTGCATCGTCTATGGGATATTTATTGACTTAAATATTTGAATTCGCTTTTTGAAACATAGTGATAATTTATCATAATTTTCATGTTAACTATAAATTGCTTTGTTTTAAACTTTATTGGGTTTTGTGTTTACCTAGATTTTTGTTTCTTGTCAAATTAATTAATAAGTTGCCGACTGATGAGTTTTTAATCAAATGACTGAAATTATTTTTACATAACCTGTAAAATATCACAAAACTACTTTGGCTATACCTTTATCTTAAAATGATCTCAAAATTTTGTAAACCCTTACTGAAAGAAAACCAAATAATTATAATTTCTGAAAAATTTCACATATTTTATTTCAAAATAGAATAAAAAACATGCGGAAAATTGGAAACTGGAATATAATTTAGATATAGCCTAGTGTTAAGTTATGTCAGTTTTTTACATAATTTTTATATTAATTTTAAAAATGCATAATCAAATTATTATAAAAAATAAAAATGAAAAACAAGAGCATTGTTCATTTATATTTGTTTGTTTTTATTTATGTATGCATTTAAATTTAGTTCATATTACACGAGTGTTATTATCATCATAATCAAATATAATTCATATTCAAACCAATTTTTTTTTCTTCAATGAAGACGATATTTTCGAAAAAAGTCCAAAATCCAAAGAATGATGTGATACTGTTCAGGTTTTTTTTATCAAACACATAAATTAAAAGTTTATAGCTATCATTATGAAGAAAAAAATAAAAAATGATAGGCGTAAATGTCACTATTTAATGCTACATGCTCCATTTCATCACTATTGTGACACTGAAAAAAATCCTTTTCTCCTTAATCATTTTTTATTTTCAATGTCTGTTTCAACACTCGTAAATTCTATAAACTTATTAATAAACGTATTTATTTTGTTCTAAGACAGTAAATTAAATTAGTAATTTGTAAAAATCGCTATTTCTTGTTTTTTCTTAATAAAACTTCTGTTCAAAAATTACAATTTAGTATTCTTTATTAAAAGCAAAACTATTCATAATTCGTAATAAGCTATATTTTTCAAAAATATACATATTTACTTCCAGTGTTTCTTTTTTTATTTTATTTGAATGTATCATCCATAATACAAAATCATAGAAAGATACTTAATTTAAGTGTTGGTTAAAGTAACAATGTTTGTTACCCGGTCAATACTAAGTTACACGATTAATTTTAATAATTGAGCTAAAGGAACATCTCAATTTATTATTATTTTAAAACAGTTTCTTGCTTTTGTAAAGCGGTTTTGTCGTCAAGGAACATTATTTACTGCCTTGTTAAAACTACAGAATCATATTTAATCATTTCACTGAAATAACCTGAATAATTTTCTATAATTTATTTAGAGTTCACATTTGGTCTACATTTATTGTCTATATTTAGTAAGAGCTAAATAAACAAATTTGAGAGCACATCTTAGATTAATTGCTTATGTTGAAGAGAGCAAAACTATAACTTTAATAACATTGTAAAGACAATTTCACTTTGAATTTATTAAACTAGCCTGTGTTTAGCTTCTAGTTTTTGGAGGAAACTAAAGCATATCAGAAAATTAATATTTAAAAGAGTAATTAATGTCAGAGATATTTCAAAATTTACTGGTTAAATAAATGTAATTTTTCTAAGGTATCTTTTTTTTTCTTTTTGATAACAACAACATCAAATTTCAACCAGAAAGTAATATATAATATAATAGTATAATATAATAAACATTTACCCGTATGCCCAGAATTGGGGCAGGTTGGGGTAAATATTTTCATAATATAATAGTATTCATAAATGAGGAAATAATGTAATAATCATCATGAATTGAAAAATAAACATATAATTTAACTTTAAATTAGAGAAAAAAATTACCATGTTGCAAAATATATCTATTGTTAATAAAGCGGTTTTTGACTAAATTACGTCTCATGATTATAAACTTTAAAACTAATCATACTCAATAATTAATCGATTCTTAGAAAAATAAGAAAGTAAATGAATTAAAAGTATTGAAATGCAGACAAATTCAAATTTCAGTAAAGATGTAGATATTTATATCATATTACCGGTGTTTATTTTTATACTAAAGATAAAATATAAAACATTGTTGATATAATTAAAATCCTTAACGAATCCCTAACGTTGTTTTTGCGAAAATCATGTGAGGAGTTTCTGAAAGTAAGAAACTAATAGTAACTTCGTTATACAAATGGAATTTTTTTTTATTTCAGTTTATGCTTCAATTTTAAAAATCCCTTCATATATCTTCAAATAAAAATATATTTCCCTTCAGTTGCTTATATGCTTAAGAATAGATCAAAACATTTTTATTTTTATCCAAAATGTCTTTTTTTCTTTCATCCTATTGACTAAATATCACTTACAGATTTATGAAATAGTTAAACTGAATTTAATTAACTTTATGCCTTAAAGTGAAATAAAACTTATTTATCTAACGATTATGTTTATGAAATTAAAACTCAATATATGTGCAATTACCGAAAATAAAGCTTGATTTTTTTATTGGTGTTAGAAAGAGTAGTATGGATATGAGGTTTAAATATTTGCAATAATGGATAATATTTAATTTCCTTGAACTTTAGCGTTTTATTATGTTTAATTATTTATTTTTTTATGAAAATCCTACATTTAATTACTTAACGTAGGTATTATATTAAATATTTTTCATTTTTTAAGCTTATTTTTCCGAAGTACGAAAGATAAACACTCAATTACTTAATATACACACAATTTTTACCGAGGTTATGCATTCACTTACTTAACTTCATTTGAAATTTCCTAATAAAATTTATTCTATTTTACAAAAACTATTATTTTTATGTAAAAAAGTTATTATTCCACTATATAAAATTTATTATAAATTATTACCCTTATAAATTTATTACCTTTATAAGAAAATTATACATTCATTTACTTTACGTTTGAAAATTCCATAATTAATTTATTCCAAGATGTCACTTATAAATTTTGAAAGAGCATTTTTTGCATTTTAAGAAAACTATTATTATTCTATCGATAGAAAATTATATGATAATTATACATTCAATTAATTAATATATACTATATTTTTAAAATTAGCTTTACTTATACTCTCAATATTATTTTAGATTATACACCTCCAAAATAGTCATAGATAGAATTTTTTCTGCATCCTCAGAAATATCATCATAATTAAAAAAAATTTGATCTAACTACGATATGATTTATATTACTCAGTTTCAAAATAATCATTGATACTAATTTATTGCTTAGATATAATGAAATAATATCACAATTAAGAAATGGAGATCGGGAAAAGAATAATTAACATGAGTTGTCATACTTCATAGAAGAAAATTAAATGGATTAAAACTACTCACCTCCTGCTGGTGGTACAATGTATCCATCAAGCAATTGAATTTGCACTTGGTGCTGAGATGTAGATTCAGGTTGAAAGTTTGGTACTGGCTTTGTTTTCTGTCTGACGGCATGAGGTGGTAAAGGAGGGGGATTTGCTACAGGTGGAAATTTCGTTCTGTGGTAAACTCCAGGAGCTCTTCTGTTGCCTCCTTCAGAAGCTGCAAAGTTCAACATCTGTCGGTGGTATCTTGTTTGTGTAGGATATGCTCTCAGAGGAGGACCTCCATTGGAACGCTCATGATTTTTCTGATCCCTGAGATTTTGATGTTCTTCCGCAGGTGAGGATTGCTGTCGTGGAGGATATACCAGAACAAAGCTTTTTCGAGTTTCGGCTGTCTCGCTATCAGATTCATTTTCCTTTTTAATGTCTGGATACTTTTCGGCAAACTCTGACGTGCTTAAAGATTCAGATTTCCCCACTGGTTTCCAACCGATGAATTCAACCTCTTTCGTAGAAGCTGTGGTAGCTTCGCCAGCTACTATAAGTAATAGTCCTGGCAAACTTCGCATCCATATTAAGAATATGAAGGTTGATAATGATTTAGAAAACGCCATCACGCTTAGGGATGAGTGCTAAATGTTTTATAAGTTACTAATTTATACAAAATTTAAAAACAAAAACTTACGAAAAAGGAATTAGTTGGCAACTAACGATATACAGCTCATTTATAAATAAAATTAAACGCCGAGTAATAAGAAGTTGAATGGTTGCGTTTTTAAATATAAATCCAAAAGTAATATTTATAAATCTATTGCATCCATATAAATCTACTAAACTTAGAATTCATCATCAGTAACTATGAAGAAAAATCCTTTTTAAAAGTTTACGAGCACTGCAGACGATAACAAGCGAAGAAGACAAATAGCCAGATTTTCTTTTAAAAAGTTCTTTTATGGCAGCAACCACGTGATTTAATCAGTAAGACAAGTAGGGGGTAAAAAATGATTTTTATTTTATTTATTTGTTTGATTAGCCAGACACTATAGCGGAAGATTAGAAGAAGATGGTCCCCCTAACCTGGTATAGAAAAAGAAAGTTGTCCAATCAAGAAACCGCATCAGAGAAGGGAGGAAGGATGAGAAGTCCAGTGGCCTACTTTCCCCATTATTGCGCCTCGAGGTTACAAATTCGATCGTGAATGATTCTTGGAGAATTTGTGGAATATTTTTATTCTGTTCTATTAAAGTAAGGGCTATTTTATGCAAATGATCTGTCCCATTCTTTTTTGGCGCTCTTAAGAGTGGGCGAAGGTGAAAGTCATTCAATAAAAAGGAGCTTTTTACTTTTATTAGGTGATAAGAACTTCTTTTTTGAAACACTATTCTTTGTGATTTTTAACTTTTACCTTTAATTTTTGAGTGATTACATTACCGAGTATTTTCTGATGAGATTTTAGAGACGTTGAAAACGGTATTTCATTGATATAGGGAAATAGCAAACAGTGTGCAATTGAGAAATTAAATAGTTCATTAACATTTAATTAACTAAAACCATCTCTGATAGAATGCGCTGTTGAAAATTTCGGAGCCCATTGAATCAGAATACCACTCAAACTCATTGCAGCCTTAAAATGGTGCCTTGTTGAGCCATATTATCGTATTTCTTAAACTTTCTAAGACGATAATATGTTTTTTAGGGCATTGGAAACACGGTGCAATAATTTAAATTCTTATTAAGGTTGATGCAAATTTGTATCGTATTATAGCTAAATATCGATATGCCAAGTCGAACCATACTATTGTACTTTTGAATCTTGTTTAGTCAATGCTATGGTTTAAAAAGTACGGAAACACGGTTCAATTTAAATTTTTATTATGGTTGCTGCAGATTTGTATCAGATTATGACTCGACACCCATACACCAAGTTGAACCATATTATTGTACTTTATAAACGCGCTAAGACGATACTATGGTTTAATGGGGACGGAAGCACGTTTCAGTTTAAATTCTTATTAAGGTTGCAGCAAATTTGTATCGAGTTATGGTTAGGTACCTACATGACAAGTTGAACCACATCATAATTCATAGTTGAACTAATTTTTGTGAGTATGGATTAAAAATACTATTTATAGAAGTATTAAATACCACATAAATGTTGAAGTGTTTATTTTAATTTTTTTAATAATGCTGGTAAAGCTTAACAATTCAGTTTAATTTGAGGTCCTCAAAAATGAGTAAATAAATGAAACTATTTAACCCTTTCTAACTTTTTTACTTTTTAAAGCCTTTACATGTTCGGATAATTTGCATTAAGTTATAGCTGTCAAAATAAAATAACACAATTCGATTGCATTCTTCGTTTCAAACGCAAATGAAAATTAAGAATAGTTACGTTTATTTTAGGACTCTTTTTACTTGCAAATTTTTTTAAAAAAGTGATAAAAGTGATTCGATAAAAATTTATTTTCAAATTTTTATCAAATTTAATTTGGCTTGTAGTTTAAACATTATTGTAGAAATTAACATTTATCCTAATCAAATATTTTATGAAATAAGATTAGGGGAGAGTCAGGTAGCCCCGCCCAGCGGGTACCCCCGCCCACAGTCAATTTCATATGTATAGAATATTTTTTCAAGTCAATGGGCCATCGGACATTAATTGNTTTAGGACTCTTTTTACTTGCAAATTTTTTAAAAAAAGTGATAAAAGTGATTTGATAAAAATTTATTTTTAAATTTTTATCAAATTTAATTTGGCTTGTAATTTAAACATTATTGTAGAAATTAACATTTATCCTAACCAAATATTTTATGAAATAAGATGACAGAAAAAGTATTTCTCAATATTCAACAGACCCCACTGAGTGGCACAGTATAGGGAGGTCCTAACTATAAAACTTTATTGAATAAAAAATAATCAGCTAAAATAATTAATAAGTAATTATTTACGAACTACAGTATGTTACCAGCATCTAGGAACTAAGTGGTGGATAAACCTAGTGGAACTATAGTTGGACGTATAAAGTAATTATTTGTAAATTGCAGTATGTTCCCAGCATCTAGGAATTAAGTGGCGGATAAACGTATAAAATTCTGGTTGTGAATGGTTGGGATTGGACGTATAAAATTCTGGTTGTGAATGGTTGGGATTGGACGCATAAAATTCTGGCTGTTTAACCTTTTTAGGGGAAGACCGTCAATAAACAATTTTTCACTCAGTTAATAGCTAGAATACTGTATTTTTTATGGTAGTCGTTTGACTATTTTAGTTAAATATGCTATTAATGCAATTAAATCAATTGTTTTAAAGTTTAATCAAAGTTTGTTTTTAGCCGGGTTCACTTAAGGCAAAATTATTAATCGTAACACGTATTTATAAGTTTAATAATGACAAAATAATAATTAAAACAGCTATGTAATTTATGAATTAAATGACATATGTTTCTGTAAGCGGGAGGGTGACCATTTCGATCAGCTTATAAATTCCAAATGTCTTCGATTTTAGAGCTTGAAAAGCTTGCGTTTGAGATAGCATGGTGTGGAGGCAAAGTGATTATAGTAGCAACATCTGATTTCCGATATTAACAATAGCAGTGTGCTAGTATTTTCTTAGGATCATTATTTAGGAGTCCCGCAGTGGACTGATCGCAAGGACACGGTTGTTAGTAGTCAAGCATCACTGGCTGCTGTCAATAAGCAGGTGGGAGACTACTTTGATCTACCTGTATAGTGACCGAGGGTGTGCGGTATTGGTCCTCGTTAAATTGTTCTACCGTTAAGTGCTCGCATTCGAGCTTTATTAATAACAACCGTATATTTATAACTTTAATTGAAAAATATAACACATGTCTATAATACAATATGCATATATTTCAATAAATTCTTAGAAAGAAAAAAAATGAGCACTTGCAGAGAGACGCATAACATCTTAAATAGAAAAATATTTTCTGATTCACTGGCTTTCGCTTTGCAACAGATGCGCTTCTCTGCATTACTGTTGCCATAGAAAAAAATAAGAGTTGTTTCTCCGTGGTTCTTCTTTTCGAGAACGCCATGAGGAAAAGCTTACATACGGGTTGTTGCAAAAGTAAGACTAGGATGATTGAGAGCTCATTATTATGTAGAAAATTAAACGAATAACTAAGGAATTTTATCGCCCAACGTGTGATACTGTGAAATAATTAATCTAAAAAAATATTGCAATCATAAACACAAACATTTGCAAAAACATTTGCAAAAACATATAAAGATATATGAAAAAATAACATGCAAAAAATTTAAATATGTACTTTTTTTTTCTTCCTATGCTCTTTTAATAGTGCCCTTACTCATTTTCGCCATTATGAGTGCAATTTGAAAAGCTTTTACCAAAGAAAGTAGTAAAGCCACAATATGAGTGATTAAACTCGAGGCAATTTTTAATTTTAAACTATTCATACTATCTCTCCGAAAAGAACAGTTTGAGCCTTACTGTCAAGTATATTTTAAAAATTAAAAAAAAAAATTGGTTTTTGATTATCAGATTTCTTCAAAATAAAAATCAAAACATACATACAAATCCAAACAATGGGTGGGTTCCAGGACAAGGAACGTTTGGAGCGCGCTCCAAGTTTTTAAGCTCCTAAAAAGTTAGCAATCGTTTGCCAGCTGACATTTTGAACGATCCATTTCCTATTTTCCTCGGGACGTCATATTTCTTTATTTAATAATAATTATTTCATCAATATTTTAAATAATTCTATGAGAGAAAAACTACAACCAGAAAAGTTAAAATCTTCTGGAATAATTATATTCAATTCATCCTTTTTAGAAACTTGGGGAAAAATTTTACAGGATCTGGTTTGCTCGTTTTGCTTAAAATTAACTTATAAAGTTCTCAATTTATAAATGCATAGTTCATAAAAAATTTATTTCGATGAAAAAGTTATAATAAAAAATACTGTCTATGCAGCTTCAGTAAATTAAATTGCATAAAAATGCAGTTAAGACAGTTATTATCAAATTTAAAAATTAAGTAATAAGTAAGTAAGGTTGATGAAAGTAGTAATTCAGACTAAGTATCTTTTCCACCTAAATAAGTTGGATTTAGTTTATGATGGTTTACATAATCGAAAAGTCAAATATTATTATGAAAAGAAAAATGTTTGTAGCTTCCTAGGAGTCTATTGGGCTGATTCTTTTGGGGGCGATAATGATTTATTTTATAAAAAAAATTAAAAATTAAAATTTTTTTAATGAAACATGGTATTTTACTAAAAAATTGGTATCTTAAAAAAAATTGCGTACTTTTATAGTTAATCTAAAACATTATTGAAATAAAATTTGTTTTTAATCCCAAAAGTTTTAATTGCTAATGGTCACATACCTTTCACAAAGTAAGGACTCAGTTTAATCATGGTAACGTCGTAGCGTTCTGGAAAAGTTGTATAATCACCAATTTGCTTTATACCGCACTGGAAAAATTAATTTCACTAATTGTAAAATTAATTTTTCTGAATTAGCTCTTATCAGAATTTGTACTTATTCCATCGTTTTCAGGGGAAAACAATTTTTCTAGAATAACTTTATTTTTTTTCTCCACTGGAATGTCCTAGATTTTTTCCTCTCTTTTTTAAAGTTCTTTTGATAAATAATAGAGAAAATTCGCAAAATGTTCGTCACTGATATATTTATGATTGGTAGCATTTGAAAGGTAACAACTAAGCTAAATCGGCTCTTAAAATTACTGTCCATTACACTTCCAGTTTAATAATTATCAAAAATAAGTGTTTTTGATGCTATTCTTTATTTTCCAGTATATAAAGGAATATAAAAAAACATCTCAATGGCCATTCTTTTGGGGGTGATAAGGATTTATTTTGGAAATTTTTTTTTAAATGAGATAAAAACACAATATTTTACCAAAAATTGATATCTTAAAAAAAAAATACGTACTT